ATTTACACCATCGTTTTCAATTCTATCGACTCCCGTTACTTCAATGTCTTCACCGCCTCCGGCGACAATAGGGTAAGTAATCTACTTTTTTGTCTTCGTTTTACTACTAGTTTTGCTTCAATTTTGTAGATTAATCCAATGGGCACTTTTGGAATTTAGGTTTCTGGTTTTTGCTTTCAATGTTTTATGTTACTGATTTTTATGTTTCTCTTAGAAAATCGATTGTAGAAAATGTTAATGAGAAGATATCGAATAAAAAACCACTTGGAGTAACAAATTCTAGAAGGTTCAATCCTTCTTGGTTTAAAGAGGTCGGTTGGAGTATAATATAGAAAAAAATATGCTCCTTATTGTTTGTATTGTTATCTTTTCAAAACATGTAACGGAAAACAACGGGGAGGCGGTTTTTTTTTTTAGTAAAGATTCACGTATTGGAAAGATAAGAAAATGTTTAATATTCATATTGGAGTTCATGATAGTACACATAATGAGGCTCGCATGAAGTGTGAAGCTTTGATCATCTCAGATATATATAGAAAGTACTTGTGTTTATGAGATGATCAATGTCATTATCAAAGATGCCAGCAATTCATTATTTTCAATTCTAGTTTGATGAATCTTGTGATGTGTCAACGAAGGACCAAATATCAAATTTTTATGTTATGTAGACAATAGTGGGTATGTAAGTGAAAGTTTAATAGGGATTGAACATTTACAAATACCACGGGTCTCTCACTTATGACTTCAATTGATAAAGGTAGTTTGAATTAGTATTATAGTTAATTTTTTCTAGTACCAGCTTCTTTTTTTTTTTCCCTATACTCAGTAATTTTTTTTATCTTAATTCAGCTTGCTTATAATTATTTGGTTTGTTTCGTAGGTTTCTAAGACGTCGGAAGAGAAAAAACTCCTTTTTTGGGGATTGAACATGAAGAGGATCACTGTAAATTCTATTTTAGTTGTCAATATGGATGATGAAGTTAATCAAGCGAGAGAATTTAGATGCTCGCCTAAATCTGATAGGGAAATGCATCAAGGGAACACAAAAACTTGCCTCCAATCTATGGAGTGTTTGGCTGGTTCCAAGAAAGACCTTTTGATTGACACTCGAAGGAAGCACATAGTAGGGAAGATCATGTTTAGCTATCAAGCTAGGCAGCTGGATTTTCCGGGTGGGATCGTTCGATGAATTACTGATTTCTTCACCATAGCCATTGAAAGAATAGTAGTATGTATCCAACACAGAGGTTGGCTGAATCCAAGGAAGAGACAATAAACTCTAAGTAATGGAATTATATGCCATTTCTGAAAAGGTCTTGACAAATGTAAGTTATGGACTTATATGCCCTTGTGGAAGAAAGGTTGA